CATCCCAGGGCAGGGCCCCGGGCAGGGCATTTGGAACCTCCAAGGTAGGGCATTTGCCTTGGAAGACTTCGCCAACAGAGCTAACCCCGCATCCAAGAACAACGTGAGGTATTGTCATGGATAGTCCAATGTCTCGAAAGTTTGGGGAGATGCACTGCTACGGGCGGCTCATCATTATAGTATATTATAATCAGTCCTACGCATGCTATGTATTTTTGTCGTTCGCTTTGGGTCTTTGGGGTGTGTGTGTGTGTGGCTTTCAAACCGTTTGGGGGTGGTCCTCTATGTTCAATGTCGGACAACTTCGGATAATTTTGGTTTGAATATTGTTAATTTCTAGTCCGACAACGAACCATGTTGTCAAAACAATGTGTGTTGTTTCATGTTGTTTCCAATTCCTGTTATAAAGACAAACATGACCTACATATACCCGCATCAAATGAGATTCAGACAGTCTCCGCTTTGGTATGCGTGCATGGACGTTGTGGAGGCCTACGGTGTTCGAGTGTTCTTTTTTGGATGTTTGTGTTTCGTTGCCCTGTGACATGGGTTCCAACTTGAGTAGCTCAAGAAAGAAACACTGTCCAAGGAAAAAGAAGTTCAGTACAAGTCCGATTTCAACCGCATGTTGGGTTTGGTGTAGCTGGGATTTGCACCTCCTAAGTAGGTACGGTCATGTCACATGTTTACTCTTTTGGGTGATGTGACCATTTTGGAGGGACTGGCAGAATCTCCCGGTGGACATCCTTGTTTTTCGTTGTTTTGCCATGTCCGATAACTCCACATTGACTCTGCATGATTCTGCCACTCGTTCCAACACATAGAGCAGAGCCATTGTGTTGGTATTCTTTTTGTGAGGTCGATGGGGGGAGCCGCTTGAGGTATGTTCAAGACATGCAGATCAACGGCCGATACAATGTGGAGGATCGTGGGCAGTGTTTTTTTGTCGAGTTGTGTGGGACAACCCTAAAGACTCCTCACCTACAAAAACAGATGGCTTACAACTTGGGCTTGAAGATTCCAGATCTTGAGCCTCCCTAGAGTCGACAAACCTATGTGAAGGTGTTTCAATCGAATTTGAGGGTGCCCACCAAGAGGTCCCACGTTGTTCTTGCCATTTTGAGGGGCGTTGTTGGCGAAGCATGCTAGTGTCCCTTTGCAACGACCTAACAGTTCGCGCAAAAGGGCTCCGATGGAGGCAGGGGCAAGATTTCCTATTTCTGATGCTGTTTCGAGGGCGAGTTGGTTGTGAGGATACCTCAAACAGGGCTGTCCTTGCCAGCGTTGCTGTGCTGACGCAAATTACTGTAACCCCTATATACTCTGACGATCTCTGAAGCTTCCAGGTATTATGAGAGAATCCGCTGAAGGTAGGTCTTCTCCTGCACCAGCTAGGATTTCGAAGGGTCCTGGGTAGTCATACCTGGCTAGTTCAGAGCAGTCCAGCAATGCTAGAAGATCTCCTCCCCCCCAAGCGGGCTGGGCCAGGAAAGGAGACACATGATCGAAAAGTGGCGATACGGGGGGCACATTCTGACACAACTCACCCGAAGGACCTTTTGAGCTGCCCACGTTTGTGTTTTGTTTAGTATGTCAGCAAAATCATATCCTACCCCAAACTAGTTGTCGGGGAGAGATCATAGTGCTAGATCATCTACTTACGGTACTTGACATCAATGCTCAGGTCCTCCCCGATTCACTCAAGAGTGGCTCGACCACAGCTCTCCCGCGCTCACAATTCTTCAAAAACAAAGTCCTGGTTTTGTTCTGTGTGTAAACGAGTATTGTACCGGTACCTGTACCTCTCTCTTGAACCACCTGTTTTTGAATGAGGTGGCGCTTTTCATTGAATATGTGCTGGATGAGACTTGAACTTCCCTGGCATCGTATGTTGGCATGGAGGAAAACAAAATACAAACTATCAGGTCACGACCAGCTACGCCGCTACGCAACTTGTTTCTTGGTTTGTGCGGGCGTACCCGTTGTTTAACATTGTTTAACTAATATACATGGATCTCCTTAAAGAAACAGTTGGTTTGTTGTGTGATAAACCTTTCTGGTAATCCCACCAATTTGCCAGAGTCTACTGAGTCTACTGAGTCTACTGTATGTTCCTGGAACCTGGTAGACTGGTAGGAGATATGCTCGAGCCTGACACAAGCTATGAGCCTGACAGAAACAGGTTCCATGCAGTCCCTATGAAAGGTACTTGGCTTTTGGGGGAGGGTATCTCTTGCTGCTGTGCGCGCACGGGCTTCGCGGACCAACTGCAGGCCTGGTAGACTATCGAGGCAGGTCCGGGTGCGCAGGTCCTGTTGGATCGGTTTTGACTCGTTTGCCACAACATCTACTGCAGGATGATGATAGATTCTTGAGTAAAGAATCCTGAAGTAGACGGAGCATGGAACAGTCTCCAGCGCCCGGTTGTTTAACACATTGCAGAGCCTATCTACTTCAGGATGTGGAAGATTCGTGGCAAGTCGCGACCCTTCAGTCGGCCGCAGGTTGAGCTGATGGTCTGACCGTGAATAATTTCTTAAGTTGCCAGCGATGGTGCCAGTTTGGCGTGAAGAATCGCCAGAAGTCCAAGTTACCTACGTAAGTGGCCAGCCTCACAAGACGGGGCTTCACCCTCAAGTCACCTGCCCAACCCTTCAATAAGCACAACAAGTTCGTGGTTCTTTCTCAATCGTATGGCCCCTACTGCTCGCTATTGCTTCATATGGAAAAGAAGACTCCAGAGAGAAAAGCCAAGTTGTTTTCATAGTGTTGCCTCCAATATCCTTCAATATCTATGTTTGTCATAGCATGATGGACAAGCTCTCCTGCATTGCCTGTCACAGGTTGCCAATGGCGTTCCCTCCGCGTTCTACATGTAGTGGGCCATACATCTCCCGGACACCCAACTGATTGGGATGGTGCAGTAGAACTTCTTCCAAACCGAGTGTTGTACCATGTTGTACCTAATGTGAGCGGATGTCCAGCGCCTTCAGGTGGCTTTTGAAGATGTAGATATCAATTCCAGGACTTCAGCCTTGATCACACCTAGCACCTGATCATCATCATCATCATCATCATCATCATCATCATCATCATCATCATCATCATCATCAT